TGAAGGGTTGGAATTGAAATAAAAGTGTCTGCTCACCCTCACCCTCCGTTCCACACGTATTAATCCACATGCTTCCCAATGAAGTATTTGAATGAAATGGTTTTATAAATACATTTGAGCAATACATGCATAACGTGTTATCTATCACTGGTTGGATCGCCATTCAGACAAGTTCAATATTACTGTTTATTTCACTGTAGTTTTTTTCCTTTTGATTAAGTGTTGAACGTTTGAAACAAAGCACTTCTAAACTTAAAACCTTTCATAAATACCGTAACTTGTTTCCGTGAGCGGCCGAATGTTGCGTCACGTTACATTTCACTCCCGCATGGTATTGTGGGTCTGCATTTTCTCCTTTCCTTTTCTTAAGGATGATCCAGTCTATCTTCAACTATAACAAGGTGTCCGCGAAGTCTTAACAAGTATTCAAAGTTGATAAATCAATTTAGCGAAAATTAAGGCTATTAAAAAGTATTAGAAAGTATTAGAAAGTATTCAAAAGTATTAGAAAGTATTAGAAAGTATTAAAAAGTATTAGAAAGTATTAAAAAGTATTAAAAAGTATAAAAAAGTATTAAAAAGTATTAGAAAGTATTAAAAAGTATTAAAAAGTATAAAAAAGTATTAAAAAGTATTAGAAAGTATTAGAAAGTATTAAAAAGTATTAGAAAGTATTAGAAAGTATTAAAAAGTATTAAAAAGTATTAGAAAGTATTAAAAAGTATTAAAAAGTATTAGAAAGTATTAGAAAGTATTAGAAAGTATTAGAAAGTATTCAAAAGTATTCAAAAGTATTCAAAAGTATTCAAAAGTATTAGAAAGTATTAAAAAGTATTAAAAAGTATTAGAAAGTATTAAAAAGTATTAAAAAGTATTAGAAAGTATTAAAAAGTATTAGAAAGTATTAGAAAGTATTAGAAAGTATTAGAAAGTATTCAAAAGTATTCAAAAGTATTCAAAAGTATTCGAAAGTATTCGAAAGTATTAGAAAGTATTAGAAAGTATTAGAAAGTATTAAAAAGTATTAAAAAGTATTAGAAAGTATTAAAAAGTATTAAAAAGTATTAAAAAGTATTAGAAAGTATTAGAAAGTATTAAAAAGTATTAGAAAGTATTAAAAAGTATTCAAAAGTATTAGAAAGTATTAGAAAGTATTAGAAAGTATTAAAAAGTATTAGAAAGTATTAGAAAGTATTAAAAAGTATTAGAAAGTATTAGAAAGTATTAGAAAGTATTAAAAAGTATTAGAAAGTATTAAAAAGTATTAGAAAGTATTAAAAAAGTATTCAAAAGTATTCAAAAGTATTCAAAAGTATTCAAAAGTATTCAAAAGTATTCAAAAGTATTCAAAAGTATTAAACTGCATTTTCCAAGGTATTACATTTTGTAGCTAGTTTCCAATAAGTATATGAATTGTCCAAAGAGGTTGTATTCTACAGTCTGCCTGAATGTAATCATTGCGTAGGTGTGTAGTGTGATTCTGTGTAGTTTATTTATGGCATCCCGTTGGGTTTGACGTCATCTGAACAGGACATCGCACGCTCACTGCTTGATAGCGCGTGAAGGTCCGTTTACGCCGGTTGTTAAGCAACATCGTTACGGGGAAATGCAAGTCTGCGTCCAAATGGTTGGAAGATAAGGAGGAAGGACAATCAATACTGAATATAGTCAATGTGAGGTAAAGTGTGTCGCCAAGGTAACCGGTTACAACTCAAAGTGGAGATGAGGTCTTAAAATGTATGGAAAGGGTCTTAAAAAATGTCTTCAAAGGTTTTACATGTGACTTCAGGACTCCTGCATGTACCCTGGATAAGGATCAAATAAAGGAAGCACCTTTTTTTATCATCTATTCTAGAGAATCAAACAGCTCTTATCATCTCTGCACCTCAGAGACTTCCGGGTCATTTCACTCCGTTGGGAACCTTCAAAAGCAAAATTGACAATTCGACCGTGAACTTATAAAAAACGTTTTTATCTCAATAAGTGCTAGTGTAGCTAGCTAGAGCCTCAATCCACTGTGTATCATCTTAAATGTCATAACAGGAAACCCGGCATTGGGATGACGAGGATGGGGATTATGTGGAGGAGAACTCGTACACTACAACAACTCTAAATCTTGCCCAGTTTATGTGTCTAATATCTATGTGTCTCTACACCTGATATAAGACACACTAAGGTCAGAAGTAACACTGCAGAGAGATATCAGGTCTTGTTTTTAGACAATGCTTCATCTTGTTAAGTCAAAACATCTTATTTTGAGTTGTATCTCAGATGAAACACATAGTTTCTTTACATATTTATTGGAAAATCACCAACTAGCATCAGTTCAATCAGGAAAGACTTCATTTTGTTTAAAGAACATTTATTGACACGTGCCATATGATAAATGTTAAGTCTTTGGCGGATAGACCCCGATCCTGAAATGGTATATCTAAAGGGGAAATGCAGCCGTGAGCATATAGGGAACCGCCCGGGGTCTAGACACTGATGATGATGATGAAGATCTGGATTTGATGAGGAGATTGGATGAAGAGGGGGAGGCTTTCAGGTCACTGTGCAGACGGAGCTGTATTTTTTAAATGTGTCTTTTTCCCAGTGAGCTGCCGTACCCTTAGGTTATTATGAAACTCTCGCCCAATGATGCAACAAAAAACGAACTGCTTTCTGCGTGCTTTGACTCTGTTGGAGACAGATCTGTTCGGCTTCTTAATGTTTTAGTTGGCAGCCCCATCAGCGCTCCATAAAGCACCAGCCGCTTCCCATCCTGTTCTCTGAAGTTCCACCAACACATATCTCCGGATAAACCCATGACGTTAGCCCAGAGCAGTGCAGCATAATGATACCACTTTCTGTAGTTCACTTTCTACACGGCCATGCACGCATTCTGACGATTGATCTCGGGATCAGGAGGAAGATGAAATCACAATATGTGTTTCTGAATGAAGCTGCTGTTGTGGAGCTTCCTCAGGATCCAGCGAGGCTTCACTCGGCCTCGGGAGGGGGCAACGCCAAACCAAGCAACTTCAGCTAGAAGAGAAAAAAAAGTAGAAGAACATCAGACCAACCAGACTGAGAAGAGAGACAGTTATCCTTAAAGTCAGAGACTGATACCAATAAGGGAAAAGATATCTGATGCTCAGCAACATGTCTTTGCATCCATTGGCCCAGTCCTTCCCACAGAGATGATACTGGGAGAGTGTCACTGGGAAGCAGTTGTTCTTCATGGAGCTCAGGTATTCAATGAAACTGCTCAAAAGGTTTGTGACACTGCATTGGGAATGGATCAATCTTACACATGGTGGTCGACAGACATGCCAATACGCCCCGAAACACTTCCATTGTGATGATGTCTCTGTCTCTGAGTTAGTCGTCTCATAACTTTAGTGTTTGTCAGTATGTCTGAAATGACTAGGTTAGCTACGTTAGCTAGCTAGCTTACAGCAGATCTGCAGTAACATCAGAAGGAGTCATGTGATCACATTGTTCAAATAAGACCATGAAACATTTTAGGGAAGTTTCCAACAACAGAGACAGCTGTTCAGCTTTATCATCCTGAACGTCACCAAGGTCCCAGCTGTGTGCGTCACTCTTTAGTGTCCCCTGGTCTCCCAGCTGTGTGCGTCACTCTTTAGTGTCCCCTAGTCTCCCAGCTGTGTGCGTCACTCTTTAGTGTCCCCGTGGTCTCCCAGCTGTGTGCGTCACTCTTTAGTGTCCCCGAGTCTCCCAGCTGTGTGCGTCACTCTTTAGTGTCCCCTGGTCTCCCAGCTGTGTGCGGCACTCTTTAGTGTCCCCTAGTCTCCCAGCTGTGTGCGTCACTCTTTAGTGTCCCCTAGTCTCCCAGCTGTGTGCGTCACTCTTTAGTGTCCCCTGGTCTCCCAGCTGTGTGCGTCACTCTTTAGTATCCCCTGGTCTCCCAGCTGTGTGCCGTCACTCTTTAGTGTCCCCTTCCTCCCAGCTGTGTGTCGTCACTCTTAGTGTCCCCTGGTCTCCCACGTGGTGCGTCACTCTTTAGTGTCCCCTAGTCTCCCCAGCTGTGTGCGTCACTCTTTAGTTGTCCGTCACCCTTTAGTGTCCCCTGGTCTCCCAGCTGTGTGCGTCACTCTTTAGTGTCCCCTGGTCTCCCAGCTTGTGTGCGTCACTCTTAGTGTCCCCTGGTCTCCCAGCTGTGTGCGTCACTCTTTAGTGTCCCCTGGTCTCCCCAGCTGTGTGCGTCACTCTTTAGTGTCCCCTGGTCTCCAAGCTGTGTGCGTCACTCTTTAGTGTCCCCTGGTCTCCCAGCTGTGTGCGTCACTCTTTAGTGTCCCCTGGTCTCGTTGTGTTCTGAGCTTCTTCAGCGTTTCTGCAGCTTTTAGTAAACGCTGCCATGTCTCCTCAAGTTGCTGAATGTTCTCTAAACGCTGCACGTGTTGTTGGAGATGTTTCTTCATGTGGAAGAGTTTTGTTGTCGTGTGTCCGCCTCCGTACTTATTGACCCAAAGTACCTACAGCAGAACCTGAGAATCTTTTCTAAGCATTGTCCATGAAAAGGATCCTCGATCAAATCAAACCCCAGGACTGAGAGCTTAGATATCACATATATGTTCAAGACACATTTCCATGACCTTTTTAGATGTTTTCATGAATAACACATTCTGTAGACGGCTGGCTCCAGGCCATCACCAACGCTCTGCATTGGATGTTTGGTTTGAAGCGGGTGGTGCCAGATATTATAGCATCAACATATCTACCCGTGAACATATATGATGAATACAGAATAATCATTTGTCTTGGACGTTTGGCCCTCACTCACATTCCTCTACCTGCTTTGCTCTCTGGGAAAGGTTGAACCTGTGCATGAACTGTGTCGTGTTTTCTTGCTGGGAAATATTATACATTATTTTATCAAATGTGTATCAGAGCATACCACCTTAATTAAATCTGTGATAGGGTCTCCACCTCACATTGAGATCAGATAATAATCCACTTCTTCTCTGTCCCCCCCCCCCCCCCCCCCCCCCCAGATAAATGTTTCTCCAACCAGACCAGCCCCAAGTGTGTCTCCTCCTCCTCTTCCTCCTCAGAGGCGGAGCCCAACTCCTCGTCCTCCTCGTCCTCCATCCTCCCCGTCAGCCAGATGATCGACAAGGTGAAAGGTTACTGCTCCACGCGCTCCGACAACTTCTACAAGAACATCATCATGTCCGACAGCTTCGCCCACAGCACCCGCTTCTAGAGCGCCGACCCAGGGCAGACCCTTCCTCCCTGGAACGTTCTAGAAAAGCTTGCGACGCCATCCTCCCATCAGCTTCTGTTAAAGGTTCCATCATGAAGCGCCACACTGGAACCTGCCGCGCGCTCTTCTGGAACCGCCCACCAGGTTATTTAAGGGTTTCACGACGTTTCGCAAGACTTTGGAACCTTTCCGTGTTCCAGAACTTCTTCTTCTCAACATTCTAGAACCCTCAACAACGGTTTGAGATCCCTCTGTGTTCCGGAACCTCCTCCCAACATTCCAGAACTCTTTTCCAGGACGCTTCAAAGACTTCTGATGGTGCGTTCACACGGGACTTGAAGCAAACTTTTTTTCCGTGTGTCGGTTGTTGCTGATTTATTTATACTTATATGACGTAGTTTTGAGTGTCGGTAGTGCTAATGTTAGCGTAGCTTAGCCGTAATAGATCTTACTCCCTCCAGAGATCCCGCCTCCTCTCTGCCGTGTGATCGGTTAAACACAAACGACGAGGCAGTCAAACTCTCGTATTGTGAAGCTTTGCGACGGTGTGGAAGCAACTTAAGAGCCGTTACAGAAGCTCCTCCAATGTTTTAGTATCCTTCTGACTTTGTGTTCTGGAACATTTCAGTTTTTCTGCCCACTCTGTGTCTCTTTCTCTAAAATATCTCCATCCATCCTCCCCGCTTTCTCCTGGACCTTTGAATCAGAAAAGTAGCAAAAACTCACCATGTTTTATCTCATCTTAACATAAATGAGCCTTTCCATGGAAAAGGCTCAAAACCTGAACCTGCTAAACTCCCCGAGCCCAAGGTAAAGATAATCACAGATAATCACGTGATGCTTTGAAACCCAAGAGGCTCCTGGGTAATCAGAGGACGCTGATGTGATTCTACTGTATCATCGACCTGGCTGCCAGACTTTACCCGAGGAAGAGGAAGAGGAAGAGAGGGGAGGAAGGTAGATAAGAATGGTTCTGTTTTTAATACTGTGATGTTTGTTTGAGCTATCCGTGTGTGCATGTGTGTGGATAGCCATATCCCGTGTAAATATTGATGATTTATCTATTCCATGTGCCTTATTCTATAGTGTTACAATGGTTGCTTTCGTTCATGCCTTCACGGGGTCCTGGAGGGGTCTCTGTACATACAAACCAATCCCCCCCCCCTGCTCACCTTGGTGGGAAACATATGGTGATAAAAAGGGACGAGATGATAGGATGTACCAGAACCGTTTGTGATTACTGTAGAGTAGTTCCTCTTCTGAAAGCTACACACCAATTCAACGATTATTCTGAACATATTTACAAACTGTTTTTATGTATATTATCTTCCCGAGCACATTTTGAATTAGTGTTGGAGTTATTGAGACGAATGTAGTTCACGTTATTGTTTTATTGTCTCAACGTTTAGCGAACGGAAGTATCTCTCTCCAAAAGTCTCCGAATGGCAGATTGGACTCATGATGAGTTGATGGTTGGTGGTTTGAGAAAAGATAATACAAAAACACGATAATGCCAGTTGGCCGGTGAAGCTCGGGGCGTGACAGCCAAAGTTTAGCAATCAAACTCTCATTTATGGTCGCCGCATGGAGAGAAACGCAGCGAGAAGTCCTGAGGTTGGTAACAGCTCTGTGTTCATGGAAAGACTCTCCGTCAGTTCTTAGAAATCAAAGAATAATGCTCATAGTTTGGAGAACCACCACCCAAACACAATGGAGGTGGATGGGAGGGATCTTGTGGTGTTTAAAAACTCTTCAACAACAATGTCCTGATTATTTTTGAAAATCTGTATTGTTGGGAAGAAGCTTCTTGGGATGAACTAGAGATCTAAAAATCTCAGGACAAAAAAAGTCTTATTTCTTCTTTGTGTGTTTTTCCCCTTTAATAAAACGTGGTGTATATAAAGTGTCTTTAGTCCGCTTGACTAAGGGCTCTTTGGTTTCATCATTTATCAAAAATCATCCACATTTACTCGTCAAATATATTACCAAAGATTAAAGTCTACATATCACTTTGGAGTATGTTCCCATAATTCCTTCATTTTGTATAAATATTGCTGCAGTGTTTACATTTGGTCTGAATCATGCAAAGCCAGACAAGTCAACAAGCAAAGAAGAGTAACGCTTAACGTGAATCATTTTCCATAAATGTTTGAACTTGTGAGGATAATGTGCCTCTTCTGGCGCATGTAGAGCGTCCAGTCATCAGCGAAGACACAGTCACCTGGAGACCGTACGCAGGTCTTCTGCTGGCCTCAAAGTGGGCCATGTTGCACCCATTGGCCTAAAGAATAATATACATATTGAATTACGCCTAATTTATGGTTTGTAAATCCTGTTCCCTTTACACTGTGACAGTTCCTGCAGTGCCGTTGTTGCTGTATCAGATGAGATAAGGTAAGCGTATAATGTTTGCGTTGCAGCAGCATAAGAACACAAGGCACTGTACATTAGAGACATTAAAAGACTAGACATAAACAATCCAGAATGTAAACATCTCAAATAGAAATAAAATAGTAGAATTAGAATAGTAGTAGAATAGTAGTATTAAAAAAGTAGAAAATATACATGTTGAAATACCAATGTACAGTAACAAAATAAAAAGCAGGATATGATATATACATAAGTGTGTAAGGAATGGAATATTACATATTAAATTGATTATAAATGTAACGTGTGATAGTTGAAGCAGAGAGTTGTCTTCCAGCCAGAGACTGAGACTGGACTCACTTCAATGGTTTCACTTTATTGCTATTTGGCAAATAGGAAAAAACAACTCTTTTACAGTTATAATAATCAGAAGGCATTATCTGGAATGTATCGTACTATTAAATAAAGGGCGGCAAACTAATCATACGGACGATAAACCTTAAACGACCTTTAACATGGAGGGACAAAAGCGGACTCATTTCTGTGCATTCTGATAAATGATCAAACTAAAGCTGCAACATGTTTCCGTCTGATCATTGAGGAGCTCCCACTCGTCCTCTCTCATCCTGCTGCGACCATGAAGAGAATACATAGGAATGATTTCTATCCATTTAGATCCTTTTTTACTAAATGTTTGTGAAACAATCCAGAAGTGAAGTTGAGACAGATACTCGTCACTGATGAAATGCAGCGTGGTTTTAAGATGTATTTCAGAAAGGGAAAGACAAAGCATTCATTGTTTGTACAATAAAATATATATATATATAAATGTGTCCTCTGTTTGTTGTCAGACGCCCAGAGTGTCTTCTTCATGTTATCTGCGTGTAATACTTTTATTTGTATTATTAATTCTTTAGACATTATTATACAGTTCTTAGAAACTATCGTACAGTTCTTAGAAATGATTCGTACAGTTCTTAGCAATTGTTGATTGTAAAGTTCTTAAATGTTATTTTACAGTTTTAAGAAATGATCGTACAGTTCTTAGAAACTGTCGTACAGTTCCTGGAAATTATTGAACAATTCTTAGACATTTTCGTACAGTTCTTAGAAACTATCGTACAGTTCTTTTAAATGATTGAACAGTTCTTATAAACTATATACATGTGTCCTCTGTTTGTTGTCAGACACCCTCAGTGTCTTCTTCCCGTTCTCTGCGTGCAATACTTTTATTTCTTTACGGATTATTAGCCTCAGTTATTCAGTTTCCTCTGAGCGACTCAGAGTCCAGAGCACCTCTCTGCAGCCGGCCCACGGTCCTCCCAGCCAACACCTGGAGGAAGATGCATCACATGACCTCAGGAACGTTCATCTGGCACCAGTTGGGCCGGTACTGAAGTGGGGCGGTCGGACGATGTGGGCCGGTCGGATAAGTCACTAGTGGTATTTACTTGCGGTACCGAGGTGGGCCGGCGGTACCGAAGTGGGCCGGTCGAGAGTCCCGGGCTGATCTTTTGTCCCAGTCCGCCCCTGTCTGGCACTAAGAAACGTTTGAAGAGTGATTAGAAATATAGAAAATGTTGGTACAGTTATTCGAAATGTATTTGTATTATTAATTCTTTAGAAATGATTGGACAGTTCTTAGAAACTATCGTACAGTTCGTTGAAATGATTGAACAGTTCTTAGAAATTGTTGATTGTAAAGTTTTTTAAATGTATTGTACAGTTTTAAGAAATGATTGAACAGTTCTTAGAAATTGTTGATTGTAAAGTTTTTTAAATGTATTGTACAGTTTTAAGAAATGATTGAACAGTTCTTAGACATTATGGGACAGTCTTTAGAAATGGGTACAGTTCGTAAAGTCCTTAGAAATTATTATACAGTTCTTAGAAATTATTGTTCAGTCATTAGAAAATTATTTAAAATTCTTTAGAAATGATTAAAGTCCTAACAAATTATCGTATAGTTCTTAGAAATGATCGACAGGTATTCGAAATTATTCTAACAGTTCTTGAAGGTTATTTTACAGTTTTAAGAAATTATTGAACAGTTTTAAGAAATGATGGGACAGTCTTTAGAAATGGGTACAGTTCTTAAACTATTGTATAGTTATGAGAAACTATTGTACAGTTCTATAAACTATCATACAGTCATAAGAAATTCTTATAAACTATTGTGATCTTCTGAGAAACTATTGAACAGTTGTTAGAAGCAAACACCCAGAAACAGACCTGGGTTCAGCCAGGGACAGATAACATGAAGCCAAGTAACAATACAATCCCCTCATTTAGAAGTACTTTAGTCAATTAGATCATTTTAGATCTACTTTCACACATATTGACTTCCTCTGTTAGTGTTGGCACGTGTTAAATGGGTCATTTTCAATCATTATAGATGCTTTAAAGTGAGAACATCACAACAGGGTTAGGAAAAGATGTTCTCAAATGAAGGGAAATTAGCAATTAGGGAAACTATTTCATCATGTTGACCCAGTTGAAGCTTCTTTTCTACAGCTTGCAACCAGTAGAGGTTACCGATATCCACTGAATAATATCCAGCATTGTTTTAAAGTTGGCGGTAAATAAAAGCTGGTATTTCTCCATATTTTAAGGTTTTTGTACAATTATTTGTGTGGTGACGTGACCGTGCTGTAGTTCCTTTATAGCCCAACATTAGCCTCCTTTAGCTTAGCGGTGGTGACGTGAAGTCATGTGACCGTGCTGTAGTTCCTTTATAGCCCAACATTAGCCACCTATAGCTTAGCGGTGGTGACGTGAAGTCATGTGACCGTGCTGTAGTTCCTTTATAGCCCAACATTAGCCACCTTTAGCTTAGCGGTGGTGACGTGAAGTCATGTGACCGTGCTGTAGTTCCTTTATAGCCCAACATTAGCCTCCTTTAGCTTAGCGGTGGTGACGTGAAGTCATGTGACCGTGCTGTAGTTCCTTTATAGCTTAAACCATCATAAACGTTTGTTTGCCACTGAGATTATTTTCTGCAATAATCCAAAATCACATGGAGGAATCCCATTGGACCAGGAGATGATGCCTTCAGGGACCAACACAGGAATACAACATCCCTGCATCTCTCTTTGAAACCTATTTATTTCCATCAGTCATCCACCAAACTGTGTTTTGATTAAAAAAAAATGTATGTAATTGTCTTGGTGTTTTATTATGTCAACGGATCGACCAAAAAAGGTGGAAAAATACCAGAATTCTCCTTTTTATTATTAAACAGTTTAGTAAAGTCACAGCTCTTTCACTGTAGGACAATTCCTGTATAAAAAAACAACCTGAAATGACAGAACGGCGTGTTGTTTGCCAGCTTCATGATTTATGGTTTTCTTCAGTGTTCGGTTTGGCCTCGATCAAATGAAACGCCCTCATTTATCATCCAACACACAAATAATAAAACACACCAATTATCGTGACTGCCTGATGCCTCATGTCTTCACACTTCATGCAGCTGTGGAGTATCACCCTGGATATATGTGTTCCAGACATTAATGTATGGAGGCAGTTATACACAGTAACCCGACAGAAAGTACTCAAGAACAAGTACTGCAGTAAAGTAGTGATACCACAGTGTAAAAGTACTATAGTACAAGTCAGGCACATGCACACATAGACATCAAAGTGGGCTTGAGCCCCTGCCCTTTTTCTTCCTCCAGAGAAAGTGCTTTTTTTATGGGATGCTTTTATAAAAAAAAATGCAATTTAAAAAATGTTATTTTGATAAATGAATATATATCTATTGCTGTTTGCGCACAGTTTCCCTTTCCATAAATATATTGAATGAATAAAAAATATATATATCAGGTCGGGAGATTAGACTGTCAAGTTTTCTTTCCATTGGAGTGAAAGAACACATGCAGCAAAATAGACCAAAATAAAAGAAAGGCCTGCATGAAAAAACGATATCTTTGCCTGTAATGTCCTGCCTTAAACAGTAACTTCAGAATTTAGATTGTTGGCTGCTCATTTAATAACTAGGGTGAGGCGATTAACATCAATTGGTCAGTAAGTCAGAGATGTGCAACTATATTTCACTTTTTGTTTTACATTTTTTTTTTGACATGATTATGGGAAGTGCCCTTTTTCTCATAGCTCCTGCCCCCCAAAATGTCTGTGCACGTCTGGTACAAATGTATTAACTGCACAAGATAACCCAAATCAATTCAAATGTGTACGAACCACAGGGATATCTCAAATATATGCATGGATGAACGGGGAGGGGGGGGGGGGGTTACCCTGAGTGTGTTTGGAGTGAACAGGTGTGTGTGTGTGTGTGTGTGTGTGTGTGTGTGTGTGTGTGTGTGTGTGTGTGTGTGTGTGTGTGTGTGTGTGTGTGTGTGTGTGTGTGTGTGTGTGTGTGTGTGTGTGTGATTGTGATTGTATGTAAGTAACTTTATTTATACAGCACCCTTCTCAACACAGATGTACGAAGTGCTTTACAGACAGTACACAGTACACAGCACACAATACAACTATAAAATGTAGAATAAAAGGCATAAAACACAGCAAGTAAAAGATAGGATAACACACCAATGTTGGACAGCTACAATTGTCATGAGTTCTTCAAGAGATGTGAGGGAAACCTGGAAAGAGTTTGTAATGATTCATATAATCATAAAGCCTC